AAGAGAAGCCTGGATCCGGGGAGGAAGGGGAAGGGAGGGTCCAGCACGGAGCGCGCAGGCAGGGCCGGGGACACCCGGGGCAGGAGGGCAAATGCATCTGCAGGGGTTCCCCACATGGGGCACCTGCCACCATCGGCACAACAAAACTCATCATCTCGAGGAAAATCGAACGCAGCGGTGCGACGGCCGTCCTTCTGCGCGAGGCCGACACCAGGGAGGGAAGCCCCTGTTCTCTCCCCTTCCCCTCAGACTCTGGCCGCTCTCGGCGGCCCGGAAGCCCGCCGCCCTCACCAGTCCACCGCCGCCTTGTTGTGGGCGTTGAGGGCCCCGGTGAGGGTGCGCGCCGACACCTTGAAGTTCACGGTGTAGGGCAGCATCGCGGCGGCTAGCCCGGGCTCCCCAGCCGGCCCGCAACCCGGAAGCGGCCGAGGCTGCCCTTCCGTTCAAGAGTCCCGGGAGCCCGTCGGCGTCGCCATCAGGTTCCGCCGGCCCCAAGGTCCCACCATCTACAGGTTCCGCCGCTTCCAGTTTCTGCTGAACTCAGGTTCCCCGTCTCTGGGTTCCGCCTTCTCCAGAGTCCTGCGGCCCCAGTGGTCCCGGGTTTTGTAACTTCTGTGGCTGTGTTTGCAAGAAGTGTCGCATCTATTTCCTCCAGGTTTGGGGGAAACATTGCTAGAAATCTGAAAAACAAGACACACATGTGCCAATTTGCCTTTCTGCCTTAAGTCGGTTCGTTTAGGACAACGACCAGCGCCTGGCCCCGCTTGAGGTGTCTGGGGTACGGATGAAGACGCAGCCTCCCTCTCTTGGAGTTTACAGAGAACAAACGAATGGCCACTAATTGAATGAGATGGAGAGAGTGAAATTAATAAGTGCCCCCAATGCAGATAATTACCAAATGCAGAGAACACTCCATATGAGTTTTGGAAATACTCCCTTTGCACTTGAGGAAAAGTGGGTGTGCTATGCATGGGGTGCAAGGACCCCCTTGCCTGTTTGCTGGGCTGGCTCTCATCTTGCAATTTCTACTCTGCTGCTTTTCCAATTATAACCAATCCTTCCCTTCTTTGTAATCAGCACTTGGTTTACTCTACAGTAACACTTAATAAAATGATTTCTTTCCACTTTAAACCTAAATTAAAGCAGTAACAGACTCTGTCTTCCAAGGTGTTTATCTGGGAATAGCAGTTTAATATACTTGCCATAGTAAACTACAGGCATATTCAAAGAGGTTGAGGCAAAAATGAGGAGGATTACATCAGGTATTGTCAAATAACAATCCTTGGCCACAATGATTAATAACAAGGGTGGCATCAGTCTGAGATTGAACAGGCAGTTGCTGGGCGGATGTCCTTGTAGAAGTGCTTTTGTAAAAGGTTGCAATGCCTCTGTGCAAACTTGTAATTCTGGCAGAGTCTTTTGTGATAGCAATGATGTAGGACAGATGAGACTGGACAACCGAGGAATTTTTGGGAAACAGATTTATTTAGCTGCAGCAGACAAGAGGGGCTAATACCTAAAAATCTCTGGACCTCAGAGTCTGGAAATTCTTTAAATTTTATACTCAGTGTAGTGGTTACCTGTCAGTGGGTGGGTTCATAACAATTGCTCTTTGACCCATATTCGTAGGCTAGACAGAGGTTTATGTGTTTTGATTACAAACTTGGCATTTACAAGAAAGAGGAAGCTTCAAACCATATTGAACACTCTGCAGAAATTTCTGCTGATATCCTGTTGTTAAACCAATTTTGCTAAGGGTCTTTAGAGAAGCTTATGACTCTTTGGTGGAGTAGGGGAGCACTATAGTGGTTGTTATCAGGCAACTGCACATAAACATCTTTCTTCCTAAATATCAAGCTCTGTTTCCTTCCTTCCTTTCTTCCTCTCTCCTCCCCTCTTACCTTTTTTCTGTTAATTTTACTCAAGGGGACTCCATTTTGATTATGAAAACTTTCATATTTCTTTAACATCAGGAATGATATTTTCAGATGCTTTTTCCCCTCAATACATCAACAGAAATTTGAACAAAATATTGGTAATTTCTCCATGTCCACCTTATCACTCTTGAAAAACAGCTTTCCCGAAGGTCACCTCCAATAAAGCAGTAGGAACGTTTTGGCTCTTAGTTGCCCTCTTGCAACTAGTTGCTGTTGCTGCTTTCCCTTTTTTTCCTTGTCCCATATTCTTCTCCACTGGTTCTTTTGGGGCCACCAAGATGTGTATAACCATAGAGTATAATTTCCTACTTCCCTTATAACTAGACCAAGCCATGAGACTCAATTCTGGCCAATGTGATGTGAGTGGAATTGTGTGTAGTGACCTCTGAAAAGTCATTTTTATATGTTATTCTTCCGTGCTATTTCAGTATTTATATCCAATGCTATTGTTAAACTGCAGAAATTTCTGTTTCATAGGGGAGACCAACACATTTTTAGGTAACCATAATATAAGGAAATAAATATACCCTAGTAAAATTAGAACTTCTTTTAGAAAGGAACCAAATTCCAACCTTCTTTCCTTTGCAATGCCTCGTACCCTTCCTGACATACAGTTGGCCCTCTATAAATGTCAGATGGTTCAGGAGCTCCAAGTGCCCATTAAGTATTAGGTCAAACAGGCATGAGGTGACAATCAGGAGTAGGCAGGAGCTCACAGATGAAAGTGAGCAACAGGTAACCAGAACTTCCTCCCCCGACAAGAAAAAGTTTTCCCCTTTTTGACTATTCTGAATACTGTAATATTTCCACAAACATTCTTTGCATTTTTTTGTAAACCAATGTTTTCATTTCTCTTGAGCATATACAGAGTAATATTGATGGTTTGTCTAGTAATGCTATGTTTAACTTTTTGAGGAACTGCCAGACTGTTTGCCAAAGAAGCTCTGCCATTTCACAATTTTATCAGTGATGTGTGAGGATTCCAATTTCTCCCTATACTCACTGAAACTTGTCTTTTTAAAGTTTTTATTATCATAGCCATCTTAGTTGCCATAGAGATAGGGATTTAGGATACAGAGAGAGAAATATTTAATCTTAAAGGAAAGGTTCATTGAGATATTGAGATGCAGAAAGCACAGTTGTATATCTTAAGCAACACAACCTTGGCCCATGCCCTTATAAAATGAAAAAAAAAATACAAGTGCAGAGAAAACTGGTTCAAAATTGTGCAGCTCCATCCTCCAGTACAGATCTTCTATAAAGATTGGGAAAGCGTTATACAGATTCCTATTAAAATTCCAATGACATTCTTCATAGAAATAGAAAAAGCAATCAGGAAGGTCATTTGGAAAAATAAGAGACCCATAATATCAAAAGCAATCCTTAGCAAAAAAAGTGAAGCAGGAGGCATCACAATACCAGGCCTTAAACTATACTACAGAGCTATAGTAACAAAAACAGCACAGTACTGGCACCAAAACAGACTTGTAGACCAATGATACAGAACAGAAGACACAAAGAAAAACCCAAATAAATACAGTCATCTCACAGTAGACAAAAGTGCCAAAAACATTCACTGGAGAAAAGATAGGCTCTTCAAAAATGGCACTGGGAAAACTGGAAATTTATATATAACAAAGTGAAATTAAAACCTTATCTCTCACCTGGCACAAAACTCAACTCAAAATGGACTTAGGCTATGGAACAGAGACCCTGCACCTAATAGAAGAAAAAGTAGTACCAAATCTTCCTCATGTTGGCTTAGGAACTGACTTCCTTAACAAAACTCCTAAAGCCCAAGAAGTAAAATCAAGAATCAGTAAATGGCATGGATTCAAACTAAAAATCTCCTTCTCAGCAAAGGAAACAATCAGTAATGTGAAAAGAGAGCCTACATAAAGGGAGAAAATCTTTACCATATGCACCTCACACAGAGCATTAATCTCCAGGATATACAAAAAACTCAACAACAACAACAACAAAATAACCCAATCCATATAATGGGCTAAGGAACAGAACAGACACTTCTCAGAAGATATACAACTGATAAACAAATTTTTGAAAAATATGTTCAACATCTCTAGCAATTAGAGAAGTCAAAACTAAGATTTCATCTCACTCCAGTCAGAATGGCAATTATCAAGAATAAAAGCAACAATAAATGTTGGCGAGGATGTGGGGGAAAAGGAACACTCATACATTGTTGGTGGGACTGCAAATTGGTGCAACTACTCTGGAAAGCAGTATGGAGATTCCGCAAAAAAACTTAGATTGGAATCACCATTTGACCCAGTTATCCCACTTCTTGGCATACACCCAAAGGACTTAAAATCAGCATATACAGTAACACAGCCACATCAATATTTATAGCAACTCAATTCACAATAGCCAAGCTATGGAACCAACCCAAGAGTCCTTCAACAGATGAATGGATAAAGAAAATGTGGAACACTACTCAGCCTTAAAGAAAAATGAAATTATGGCATTTGCCAGTAAATGGATGGAGCTAGAGAATATCATGCTAAGCAAAATAAGCCAATCCCCCAAACTAAAGTCTGAATGTTTTCTCTGATATCCGGATGCTAATTCACAATAGGGAGTGGGGTGAGGGAAAAATAGAGATACTTTGGATTAGGCAGAGGGGAGTAAAGGGAGGGGAGGGGGTATGGGGGTAGGGAGGAGAGTAGAATGAATCAGACATTATTACCCTGTGTGGATATCTGACTAACGACCAGTGTAATTCTACATCATGTACACCACAAGAATGAGAAGTTATGCTCTATCTTTGTATGATGTATCCAAGTGTGTTCTACTGTCACGTATAAGTAATTAGAACAAATTTTTTAAATCTTGGAAAAAAAGATTGGACTCCCAGCCCAAGCCAGGGCTGCTTCGCACCCTCAAGGGAGCCCATATGCTCCCTTGAATGTTTTTCTACCTCCTAAGTAAACCTCTATTGACGCCTGTGTCTGGCTCATGCAGGAAGTCTTTCCGTAGTGTGTGCCAGGAACCTGGGGAGTCCTAAGCTGAGCTCCCCCTCTCCTCTGGGAACTCCTTAGACCCTTCTCTAGGGACATCTCCAGTGACACCTTGCTTTGTGTGAATGTCTCTCAAAGGCCCAGGTGATAAGGCTTGGTCCCCATCCAGTGGCATTGTTGGGAGGTGGTGGAACCCTGTCTATGGGAGGTGGGGTCCAGTGGGCAGCTTCAGGTCCCCAGGGACTGTGCCCTTAGCCTCTTCCTCTCTCTCAGGTTCCAGCCATCAGGGAAAGACTTTGCCATGCTCTGCAGCCATGAAGTGCTCCTCACCACCACCCAACAGCCAGGCACCAAGCAGTCAAGGATGAAACCCCAAAACTGAGGCCAAAGTAAGCCTTTCCCTTTATGTGCTGACTGTGTCAAGCATTCGCTACTGTGAGGGAAAGCTGATTAACACATTATTGGGTGTGAAGAGGTTCTCTCTGTGGCTTCAATTTGCATTTCCCCATGTCTGAGGA